AAGGCAAGATTTGGCGCCATCAGGGCAGTGCACAGCTCACGGGAAGGTTGACGAAGTCGGGAAATGGGCGAGGTGTCAGCGGCGAGCGAGGCCAGCCATGGCCGACAGCCGGCGAAGTTACGGCTAATACGACCATGTTCCTTGTTTCTCGTCCACAATGTGGTCCCACTTTTCTTTCGCAGTGGGAGGTGGTCAGTGCTCTCCAGAGAGCAGAGAAGAGTGTGTGCAGGAGGACGGCGGTTTCGCTCATAGCTGTATACCTGCCAATCATCCACAAGTTGTCGTAAGCCCGCCGGGCGCCATCGGGAGGCTTCATACTCTGCGGGGCCGGGTGTCGTCAGTAGACAGGGAAAGGGTGTCGTCCAAACGAGGTGTCATGAGGAGCCGGAAGAGGGTGAAAGATGGTGTCGCAGCTTCGTGAGCGCGTCCAGATTCTGGCGAAACTGCCGATTCTCCACAAACTCGCACTTGACACCCAGTCCATGCTTGCCTGCATGAGTCAATCCGTAATTGGCCGTCAATCCTCTACTCTACCCTAGCGTTGAAGCCGCTGCAGTGTTTGGAGGAGCCGAAACTGCCTCACACGAGAATTAGGCAGAAACGGCCGTACAAGGGTCTAGGACTGACGCCCCAGACAGTTCCCCCCCTGCAATGCTCCACGGTTCCTGCGATAACGCACAGCTTGACCAAAGTATCCCATGAATCGTGTCGCTCCATCGGATGCTGAAGTTTCAGCAAAAGATTGCACCGGCAGGCTGGACAGGATGCCGCCAGAGGCTTTGAAACTCGTCGTTCCCCATATCTGTCACTACCATGGCATTTCGTCCAAGGCGAGTGCTGACAAGTCATTCAGCTGCGAAAAATAGATCTCATAGCACTCCCGAATTTTCAAGGCACCATCACACGTTTGCGGCCGTGTGGTTGTGGCAGTCGGTCACACTCAAGCCATCGAGCGAGGATAACTTACACAAATTACCCCTGATGGTCTTGCCACAACCTTGCCTCCGACTCGCGAAGCAACTCCACTTCCACGCTGACCTGCTGTATGCTACGGCGTCGTTGCCTTCATTTTCGGACATAAAACGTTCTGTATATCCGTTGGTTAGCTTGTCAAACCCATGGGCTCAGCCTAGAGACACCTCGTAGTATCCTTTTACTGCAATCACTTGTCGTTAAAGATCATGTACGGACCGAGCAGCCCAGAACGGACACCGGGTACAAAGGTTTGCGGTGCGGAGAGGGCAACTACCAAGTGCAAGCTGCTCAGCATGTGGCTTCAATGATACGATGAATCTGTCGTTGACCAAAGCAGCGCAAAGCTACCATGTCCAGTCGTACAATTACTATCATTATACAACCTGTGCACTGTAGGCCAGCACCAACGCCCTTGCAAGACGAATCTACTCGCACTAATCGACTCGTCTTAGGTTTTTCAACGATGAGCAGTCTTCACATCGGCAATGGCCTTGCGGACCACCCAGAAGTGTGTATCTATGTCGACACTCTCAGATTACAAAGCCAGTTTTCGACAACACAGACAGTTACCACGAGCAGGTTGCCCGGCACGATAGACCAAGGATGGCCCGTTGATATTGGCAAACTAAAATCTGCCATACTGTCATGTACTGGGCTGGAATCCAGGAGCTTGGACGTATCAGTCAATCTATACGGACCTACTCCTCCTTCTACAGATACGATTTGGCATCCAGTTGCTGGCCACAGCC